CGCCCCCGTCGCGGGCCGGGTCCGGCAACGGGATCGCACCCCTCGGCGTTGCCCCCGCGCCTCGCTCAGCCAGCGAGTGGGAACCGGTCTGTATGTGGGATCCGAACCCTCGGCGGGAGCGCCGCCGCGCTTCCCAAGCGGCGCACTATCTCAGTGCGCCACCGGGCTGGCCCTAGAGTATCACTATTTTACAGTCTCTAATGAATAATCAATCTAGACCATGGTGATGAATTGCTGATAACATTCCAGAAAAAGAATTGGATATTATGTGTCTCCTGATGGAAGTATAAATCTATGAAGCACTGCACTGTTGCCAAAAATTAAAAACCCAAATCTTATCAAGCCACTGGATCTGATATCTAGTTTACAAGAAATACAGGGGACAGAAGAACATGTAAAATGATACCATAGGGATGTAGTCAACACAATCTAAATACAGAAAACTGTGTAACAAATGGCCTAGTTTCTTCAAAGTACCAGGGTGGGGGGGAAAGAGAGCATACAGAATGTATAGATTAATAGGGACTTGATGCATGTATTTATGAACTTTATTTGAATTCTGATTTGAACAAACCAACTTAAACAAAAAGTATGGAACAATTCAGGGACATTTGAATATTGAGTGGCTATCTGATGTTAAGAATTTATTATGATTTGGGGAGGGGGAAGGGGGAGTTAAAAGTGGTATTTAAGAGTCCATATCTTTTAGAGAAGCATACTGAAATATATACAGTTAAAATGTGATGTCTGAGTTGTCCTTAAAAATGATCTAATGGGGATAATTATAGAAAAGGAACAAAGAGTCCATGAGTTGATTATTATGGTTTGGTGATAGGTGCGTGCACATTCACAATTCTGTTTTCTCTATTTTTGTACATGCTTGACATTTTCCATAATAAAAAAAAAAATTTTAATAAGTTTCACAACCCAGTAATGTGTGATGAATTTCCATCTGGAATGAAAATTGACTTTCATAACTTTTTTGTAGCCTTACTCCTCGTGAATTCAATTCTTATGGAGCCCGAAGAGGTAATGATGCTGTGATGACAAGAGGCACTTTTGCAAATATTAAGCTTTTTAATAAGTTTATTGGAAAACCAGCTCCTAAAACAATTCATTTTCCATCAGGACAGATGGTAAGGATGTATGCAAAGTATTTTGGCAATTGCTAAGTGTATCAAAATTTGTATTAACGATTTTTGTGTTTGTTTTAATTTACAGCTAGATGTATTTGAGGCTGCAGAGCTGTACCAGAAAGAAGGTATCCCACTGATTATTTTAGCAGGAAAGAAATATGGTTCAGGAAATTCAAGAGACTGGGCTGCCAAAGGACCGTATTTATTGGTACTGATTCTTAAAATTTATCTTAAGCTTCAAGGAGTTTCAAATATTCCCTTTTGTCAGTAACATTCTGTCAAAGTTTATTTTGCTTATTTGGATTTTTTAATGCTTATATGGACCTAATTTATGGGGTTTTTTTGTTTTTTTCAGTGATCTTAGATAATATTTTGTACTCATCTAGTAGTGTTTTAATACTTTGAATTTTTAGACCTATATCAGTCTTATGTAAAGAAGCCAGTATGGTAGAGGGAAAGGAGATTCTGTCTTAAACTATTACTTTGTAGTAATTATTTGCACCCATTGGTAATTTTACTTTTCCTCCTTTCGTTTAATTTTCTCTGATTTGCTCTATCAGGGATTAAGAGACTCAGAAATATTGGGCCAAATTTGACTTTTTTTTTTCCCAAGTAGGAGATGATGGTGCCTGACTGCCTGCTAGGAAGACATTTCTTCTGAGACTGTTTCTTTGTTGCAGAGCAAATAAACCATCTGGTGGAGGAAATAGTTATGTGACATGTGCTTTCTGCCATTTCATAGTCACATGTGCTTCTCTTTACAATTGTAGCTGTAAAAAGGCCAGCCAAAACACAACCCTCAAGGCCCATCATACAGACTTCATTCTTTTTTAGGCTGGCTAGTTGGCTCAGTTGGTTAGCATGCCACCTTGTAGCAGCATAGGTCAAGGGTTTGGATCCCCACGCTGGCCAGCTACAAAAAAAAAAAAAAAAAAAAAGGAAAAAAAAAACAGACTTCATTCTTTTCAAATCTTTAATTTCTCCTTTAAAATGTAAATACTTTGAGAAGTTGTAGGAATAAACCAAATTCTCTTATCTATTAATTATAAGTATTATAAATATTAATTATAGATATAAGTTCTTCTTATTCTGAAAAGTTTTGTCTTTGCTTTTTTATGGTGGAGGCTTTTCTCATATGATCCTTGGCTGTCCATTCAGTTAAATATTAAAAAAACCGATTACAAGCTATGGGTGTGGGCTGGATTTTGTCATTTAGTGGGCCTTACTATGGGTGATATGCTTCCTTTTTCATTGAGAGGGCCCTATTTATCTGTAAGTATTTTCTCTGAGGCCATTTAGTTTCTTAAATGAAAGAGACTTGTTCAGGATGCAGACTTCAACTTAATCCCCTGTTTCCAATCTGATGCTCTCACATGAGCCTTCTCCTATGCCCAGTGTTCCTCAGTCTAGAGAATGCATTCCCAGCAGGGGTGATGGTGCTCCCAAAGGGCAAAACTTGGTTCTTACGTGGTAAAACAAAATTTTACTCATTTTATGTATAATGTACAGATAGAGGTACAGTATATAAACAGATATAGTATGTTTGTGGTATTAAAATTTCAGAGGGAGGAAAAGTGAGGAAGAAGATGTGGTTAAGGAAAAAAATGTCGTAAAAGGCTCCTTGGGTAGATGATAATGGGAAAAAAGATGAGAAATAAGAAGCACAGCTTTAGAGCCTCTCTAGCTCATTTTCTCCAGAGAATAAACTTTCACTTTTCTGGAGTGGGGATTGAGCTGGAGGTCTTACTGCTTTTTATAGACTTCTAACCAGCACCCCTAGTGTTCTGAAACCTCATGCCTCTGAGTCTCAAGCCTTTCCTGGGTCTGTGTTGCAAATTGACTGAGACGTTATTGGTATCACTCTCTAATTTCAGTTTATCATTCTGTATTTCAACATTACCTACTAAGTCAGTTACCTATCTTTATCTTCTAAATACCATATTTATAGAATTCTGTCATCCTGTTCCCATTGTTGCTATGGGTTTATACCTTCCTTATTCCTTTATTTGAGTGGCATTTCAAGAGAGAATGTTAATGAACACATATGTCAGATCTGCCATGTTTAAACAGAAATCCTGCTGAGCCCTATTTGAGGTCAACACAGCTATCCCCATTTTTAGAGCTCTTACTATGTGGTATAGGCACTGAAAGTCCTTAACTCTGGAGTGGCAAGGGGTGTGGGGGATTCAGAATAATTTAGGGAGTCTTTAAAAATACGGAAAAATAATGTATAAAAGGTTTCTGTAAATACTGTGATACAGCATTGACCTCAGTATGGGGTAGCAGATTAGATAGAAAGGCCTAAAGTAGATTTTTTTTTCCCCTTTAAAATGCTCAAAGAATCAATTTTCAGAAATGATTAGAGGAAATAAAATGTACATTTGTTACAGGGTGTGAAAGCTGTTTTGGCTGAAAGTTATGAAAAAATACACAAAGATCATTTGATTGGAATTGGCATAGCTCCACTTCAGTTCCTTCCAGGAGAAAATGCAGATTCCTTGGGCCTCTCTGGCAGAGAAACATTTTCTTTTACATTTCCTGAAGAACTATCTCCTGGAATTACATTAAATATAAAGGTATCTCTAAAATTCTCAATTATATAATTGTGCATTCTGTACCCAAATAGATGGTTATAAATTGAATAAGAAACAATTGCTATAAATTGCATACTAATGTTAGTTAGTGAACATAAGTCGTAGTTTAAAATGGCTATTTCCTACATACTTAAACCTGGGTTAATATAATTCATGTCCTCTGAGGAAAAGAAGAAAGAAATGGATGCTTAGTCCAAAAATATACATAGAGAGGGGAATCTTGACTTTTCCAATTACATATGTCAACTTCCTTTTCCTAGTTTTCACTCTCTCTGTCCTGCTCTAATTTTAACCCAGGCATATACAACACTACAAAGAGAAGGCAAAGTTGAGCATTCAAGGTTAGAGTTACAGACTCTCCAACTAAGAAAAAAGAGTAAAAGAGGAGAAGTTATTGAATGCAATGAGTACTTAATGTAAAATGAATGGGTAGTGAGTATGTAACTTCCCCAATTAATAAGTCAAAATCTAAATATTTTGATTTAGTGTTCTAGGTAGTATATATAATACTTGTCATTTAGAATTAGTAATGAGAATATCTGGTTTTCTACTTAGCTATGAAGCCCGTGGTCAGGTATCTCAGGTGTTTTTCAAACAGAAGAAGGGTTTCAGGCAGTCAGATTATATGAAGTTAGTACTAGGAAAATCAGACTGATTATGTGGCGAGTATAGTCACTGTGAATATGAAGACAAATGGTCTTAACCATTAAGACTTTGAAGATTCTACCACTCATATGAAATGTTTTTGTTTGTTTAAAGACAAGCACAGGAAAAGTATTCGGTGTGATTGCTTCATTTGAAAATGATGTGGAAATAACACTGTACAAACATGGAGGATTATTAAACTTTGTGGCACGAAAATTCTCATAGTATCTACTCACCATGGATACCTTTCAAACTGCTAACTGCAAAGCCTTTTGTGCTGGACCCAGGAATCCTTACCATGGAGCTGCAGATAGTCCCAGTATACTCACTTATCTCATCCATGGATGTAAATGATTATGAATCAACGTAGTGACTGAAATGAAATCTTGATTTTAAATAATACACGAATGGTGCTATTAACATTGCTAAAATCAATGTGTGACGTGTTGTGGAAGAGATCTGTAAGTATGGGGGGGGATATTTTATCAGACCATTTTGTAAATAAAGGCAGAATTTGAACTTGTGTTGAAGATTCTTATATGAGTAACCTTCCTGAAGTTGTTTGTTTAGTTTTGCACCTATAAAACTGTGTACTACTGTTTGTTGGTTTAAGAGTGGCAGATTGAAATATAAGAAGCCAGATTAGACTCTAAAATTGTGGATGTTGGAATATGATTTACAAACAGACTTTTAAGTATATTCCTTTTCAAAATTTAGCTGGACACATTTGGCATTCTTAGTTTGTCATATAAGCCAGGTTTATCCTCATTATTAGTCTAACTACAAGGGTTAGAAGCTGCCCCAGATTACAATCATTCTGTCCAATCCAGCCAAGGTTTCCTCCACATCTGAAGATGGACCATGGCAGAATATAACTGATTGTATGGCACTATCTATTAGCAATGAAAATATCACATATGAAAGTATCACACATGATGCAGCCCTTAACTTTTTAGTAATTTGCCATTGTGATCCTCTGGCAAGACTCAAATGGCATTATATTAATTGAATTAGATTATTGTGCTCACTTTGTGTGATACTATAACTTCCTATAACCTAATACTTTAGATATCATTAACCAGAATTTCACACTTGTTTTATAGTTGCTAAAGAGAACTTTATTTAATCATTAAACTCTAAACTGATTTCCGCTAGACTTAAATTATCCACCATAAATTATATGGGTGTTCAACCTTAAGCATTTTTTAAATGTTACTATTTCTTAATTATTTTTTAGATATCATTAACCAGAATTTCACACTTGTTTTATAGTTGCTAAAGAGAACTTTATTTAATCATTAAACTCTAAACTGATTTCCACTAGACTTAAATTATCCTCCATAAATTATATGGGTGTTCAACCTTAAGCATTTTTTAAATGTTACTATTTCTTAATTATTTAAATTGAATTATTTAAATTTAAATTACTATTTTACCTGGGATGCATGAGTCTATTAATTCTGTTATGTTACTGTTTTAACCAAAGCTGATCATTAGATAAAACACTTAAGTTGTTGCTGAGTACCATATATTCTCAATATATATGTCTGTCCCAACCACATCAAATGTTCCATCACAAGATGATTTTTTTAAAAAGTTGGATAATTAGTTCCAGAAGGTCCTATACATTTTTAAATTAATAAATTTAGCAGGCAAAATGTTAATTGTATTGATTTTTCACATGGAGATCTTCGTATAACTTAGTTAAGTTGCTGCAATTCACAATTAGCTTACATTGCGCAGAATAAATAATTACTTGTTTTAAGCTAAAATGCTGAAACTACAAAACCAGTGGATGAAGACCACTGAGAACTTTGCACATAATCAGTCATACGGTCTTTTGAAAATGTTTTGCAAGTATGCGTTTAGACAATAAGGTGGACTAGAATTTGACAAAACAATTTCCCTTCTTTATTTAAGTGTTTTATAAATATTTTCTTTGGTACTTTCAAATTATATTGTGTTCTTGATATATGCTGTAAAGCTACGAGTGCGTGTGTTTTTAATTTACGTGAAAACATGAGTTAGGGATGGAAAATTTACAAGTTTAATGTTAAAATACCTGTTACATGCTTTGAAGAAATGGTAACTCCAGATGAGGGGGTGGGGGTGTCTGTATTATTTTGAAGGCATATAGTCTATGGCAGAGGCATGGGCATCATCATAAACAGCCAATCCAAGAGATGATGATAAAGCTATGAATTAAACATTAAAATTTCCAGTCTACTTAGTCCAGTAATAATACAAGCAATCTTGTATTTCAGGAACAAAATCAAGTTCTCTTAATCTCTTGCTTATATACAGTGAACCAAAAGATTGATAAGCATGGTTTTAAATTGTGGGGGGAGTTGTGGATGTATGTCCCAGTGTGCGTACTTTATAATTCTGCCTCTGGCCAAATTTGCAAAAATGTTGCATCTGTGTTTCTATTGTCTCACTTATCTCTTTTGACTATATCTGGGTAATTTTGTGTTACCAAAATAAAAAAAAAATCACAAATATTGTGAAAAGGAAGTATAATAGGCACATAAGAAGAGCAAATCAGTATTGTGTACAATTTCAAAGGTCATTACCAACAGCAGCTTTTTTTTTTTTACTTTTAAAAAACATTGTTACATATCATTGCCATTTTCATACCTTTGAGTTTTGCTACTTATAAAATGGAATCAATGAAAATGTCATCCAGTCTCTGAATTGCCATTATACTTTTAAAAAACATTGTTACATATCATTGCCATTTTCATACCTTCGAGTTTTGCTACTTATAAAATGGAATCAATGAAAATGTCATCCAGTCTCTGAATTGCCATTACTATATAAAAAAGTATCCAAGATGACAGTTATTTCCTGTTTTATCTCCTTGCTGACACTTGAATGAGACATATCAAAATCCCTTTAGCCAGGTTGCTCAGTTTGGTAAGGTAATCAAACTGCAGTTGTACTAAAGGAAAGAAAGTAAAGACTTAAATCAGTGTTAGCCAGTTAGCTCAGTTGGTTAGAGCTTGGTGTTATAACACCAAAGGATCAGATCCCCATACGGGCCAGCTGCCAAAAAAAGGAAAAAGACTTAAATTAGAGTCATAATTGTTTGCATATATAGTGTGCATTTGACTTTTCAGTGATGAGTGACAGGATGAGGAGAAATTATTTGATTGACACTTTTCTATGGATGAATTAAAAAAAAGACACTTTTCTTTTTGCCTGTAAGTTTAGGAGAAGATAGTAAGATACTGGATGTTGACCCTATCTTAGTTTGATTAGGAGTAATAAAAGAGGGGAGAAGTGGATGGACTTTGGCTTTTTCATTTTTTTTTTTTTTCCCCCTAAAGGATGATAGTGCCGATGTTTCTATCAATTTTACACATCATATGTGGCTATGAAACCATATATATCACTTAAGTAACTACAGATCATTGTCTATTATTTAAAGCCAACAAAACAGTGTAACAGTTTTAAGTTCAATAATATTAAGTATTGTATAGAAATATATTGGAAGCAAAGTTCAATTGATGACAATTGTGTATATGTTACTGATGTTGTAAATTATTTTTAATAAAGAAAATTGTATTATCACATTTGACTCTTGTTATAAAATATTTTGCAGTGATTGAAAATAAAACACCATGACTTAAAAAGAAATGGGATGCTATCCAGAAATTTCTCCTCAAACATTATCCCCACTATGTCTGCCAAAATTGGACCATAGTTGTTCTCTTCTTATATCCAGCAGTTCCTTTCAACTCTAGGGTTAATGAGAATGAAAACCAAAGTAAAAGCTTGAAATAGTGATAGCCTTGAGAAACAATAAGTAAGTTGAACTCGATTCAAGGGTTGTTCCAACGGATTCATGGAATCACATTTTGGAGTTGGAGAGATTAATCTCACCCCAAGTAGGATTCTTTTGTACAAATAACATCTAACTGGGGAGCCTCTTCTCTTGAACATTCAAGAGATTTCTTGAACACTGTCTACTATGCTAGGCAATCCATCTTATTGACTGAAGTTTTGATATTTAACGAGTCTTACTTTGAGCTGAAGTCTACCTCCTTGTGGCTTATACCCCACTGGTTTTGGTTTTCCCTAATCTGTCTATGCCTCTTAAAGCACTTTTGTGCAATTAAACATTAAATACATATTTAACAAATAAATTGGAGCTTCCACTAATTGCATTGTACATAACCTCCATTCCACAAATCTTTTATTATGGAGGTAATTTATGCCAAAGTGAACATTTAGGACAGAATTGGAGGTCTCATGCTATAAATTGTTTATTACAGGAGGACATGGCATTTTCTTGATGCAGGATGGAGGTGCTATGTATTCTCGAACCTTGATGCTACAGGACCAGCTGATGGTGTTGCCTGCTCCCTCTGCTGCCTGTTCACTAGTGCTCTCATGAAGCAAGTCATCTGGAGCAGGGAGCCAAGACCACAGGTCTTTGGTATGTAAATATGGTCAGCTCCCCACTGATCTAAAAAGATATATCCTTTCTCCCAATCTTGGCATTCATAAACTAAAATTGGTTGAGTTTTCTAAGGATTTCAATTCACTTTTCTAAGAAGTTTGCATTACAAAGGCTAATACCAGCATAGGCACAGGTTGATAGTTTTAATATCCAGTCTTGGAGGAAACTTAGAGCTTCATCAGTGTTGCATTTGTTTGGTTTACAGTACAGTTTTCACTTGATGGTAATTCTGCTTTTTAATTATAAATTTAGCTTCAGCTTTATCATTTTGATTTTATGTAAATTGTCCAGCTAAGTTCTCCAGAATATTAGAATATAAAGCCTGTGTTCAGTATACTCGAAAAATGGATCATCTATTGCAAAAGCAGATGTATATGTAATGCCCACAGAATTTGCTTGTATAATGAAAATTGTGTTGTCACTGAATTTTGAGCATTATAAACAACCTGTAATGTATAGTTAAAGGAAGTATCATGAGACTAATGGGCTATTACATTTTGTAGGACATTGTTTTATAATATAAAATCATGTCTATAATCTCACTCTGCAAATTGTTCATTTTGTTTCATTCCAATTTTTGATGACTGAACTCTGTTTGAGAGCCACTACTTGAAGTGTCCCAGTGGCCAGGTGGAGAAGAAAAAAATGTTAATACAGCAATGATATGACACTTGTCTGAGATTGGTGGAACTTGTTTTATCATGATATCCAATGTTGTCATTATTGAGGAAAAACATGATTTGCCAGCATGTACTAAGAGCCTTAAAAGTGTCCATTCTCTTAGACCCAGTAATATGTGTAGTTTAAAGACATAATTTTAAGTTTAAAGAAATAATTTTAAGTGCACAATAAATTTATATATGAGGATATTCTTAAAAACAAGGAAATGATCACTTAAAGTGAAAAGGGCAAGTTGCAAAGCACAGGATTTCTGAGGAAGGTGCAGGGAGTGGAACCAGGTCAGACACCAGAGAAGGTGGTTGTGGATCTAGTAGCCCTGTCTTTTCAATTCTCACCAAAATTTCCAGATTCAATCTTTATTCCCAATCCCTTATCCCAAGAGTAGAAAAAGACCAATTGAAGAGAATTCAAGAGCTGCCCGAGGAGAAAGCATATAGAGGGGCGTAAGGCAGCCAATAGGATTCCAATTCTGGTCACAGAAAAGCCAAAGTTACTCTCTGATAACCTAAAGGAATGAGACATTAAGTATGTCACCTCTGGGGCTGTGAAAAGACAGCCCTGCTACTTGGGCATTAGAAATGAAGCGGATAAGAACCACAACCAAAGGGGGAAAAGAGGCCTTCCTCAATAGGTGGTTGATAAGAGGTTTGGGACACATCCAAGTCAATCAATCAGGGTGACTGTAGATAACCCAAGTGTGCTATACCCTGACAAAAAATAAAGGATGGGATGGACATTGACAAAATAAAGACCACGTTGCAGGATAAGTGGACGGTTGTCCAGAACTCTCCTCCAGTAAAAAGTGCTCTGACCTATCAGTTAAGTCCTACTTGGCTGTTTATCAGGGCCTTGTGCCTTGTGCCCTTGACAATTAAGATCATCCAACTAACCCGGCTGTTATCCCACGAATCCCAGGCAGCCTCCTGAAAATCACGTGGTTTTTGCAGACTTTCCTACAGGGAGAGAGGGTCCAATGATTGCATTACCTAAATAAGGATTCTGATCCAATTACCAGTTATATTTCTCAGTATAAATGAATCATTCATCACATTCCCAGCCCCCCAGGAAACCTGTTGGGGCGGCCTTTACCCTGCCTTGACATCTATTATACTGAATTATATGACTTGAGAAGAAAGGAGAAAACTCGGTGCTGTGGCAAGAGCCTAAATAAATTGGGAGTTGGGTGACCAGGGTATGGCTGAGGCTCTGTGTTCCCTAGACTTCAGTTTTCCCGTCAGTAAAAGGAGCGTATAGGCCTATCGATAAATAAACACTGCGGGTTCTTGCATTCCAGTATCCAGGGAGAGCTAAGTCCGGAGGGGAACGTAGCCAGGCCCGACTCTCAGGACCTCCAATCAGGACCCTTGCGGTTCCCGGGCCGGGATAGGCACGAGTCCACCTTGGGCCGCGCCTTCCGAAGCGCGTCCTCCAAGATACGAGCTTCCAGCGGGGGGGTGCGAGGAGAGAAAAACGAGGACGCGAGGGTTCCCTAGCGAAGAGGCCCACGTGCCGTCACGAGTACGTGGACTGGGCGGAACTGCGAGGTGCCGCTCAAGAGCTGAAAGCCTGCGAAATGGCTACTCACCGCGGGGCGGGGCGGGGCGGAACCACGGAGAGCCAATTAGAAGCGACAAGTCCTGTTCTGTGAAAAGGTAGCCGGGTTCTGACTGGGGTGATCACCGAGAGGAGGCGTGGGCAGCCTGCAGAAAGCCAATCGGGAGCCCGCGCTCTGAGTTTCTGTTCACAGCCTCGTGGGCGGGGCCGCCTGGCCCAACCTCTCCTCCCAGAAATGTGCGCTGACCGGACGGCGCGGCTCGCGGAGGGGCGGGCCGAGGCGAGAGCGGGACCCGCCGCAGTTCCCGGCTGCTGGAGAGCGGGGCCCTCTTCGGGACGTCGGGTCGTTGCAGGTGAGCGGAGGTGGGAGAAGCAGAGGCGAGTCCGGGTCCCCGGCGGGGTTGGGGGGACGACCTCGAGAGCGGGGAGGCTCGCCGCGAGTCTAGAGCCAGGATTCCTGTGCCTCGGGCTCCCCTAGCCCCGGCTCCACCTCACACTCGCCGCGTGCAAGTCACCCACCCTCCTCTCTGGACCTCACCTGCAACCCAAAAGGGCTGGGCTGAGACGCCGGAATGAAAGCGTGGCACCCGAGAAGCCTCGGGTCCACCCCTCCCGAGACCTGCGTGGAGACACCGGCAGGGGGAAGGTGCGGCGTCTGGCGCTCGGGGCCGTGTGTACTGTGGGAGCAACTTCTAAGGTTCCACTGGACCTCACTATTATAACGACTTGCGTGCCTTCCTGCTCCCTTGTTTTCCTGCCTCTGGGTTCAGCAACCCCTCTGCAGTCCGCTCGCCCACCACGCTTTGTCTTTTACTCAGCAGGAAGACCCTTAGAGCACCTAGAAGTACTTTATTATCTTTCAAAAACTACAGATTCTAGATTCCCCGCCTTACTGTTTCCCGATCCCCTTCCCACCACGCTTTGTCTTTTACTCAGCAGGAAGACCCTTAGAGCACCTAGAAGTACTTTTATTATCTTTCAAAAACTACAGATTCTAGATTCCCCGCCTTACTGTTTCCCGATCCCCTTGAGGGTGAACCGTGATCCTTTGGAGGGGAGGCAATTATTATAATGAATAAATAATTATTCATTAGTTAATATTAAACAAGGCACCGGGCTAAGTGCTGGGAATACAGAGGTTTACTGGGTACGGTCCCTGCCCTCCAACCTTGGAAGAACACAGCGGAAGGGATTGCAGGAGAAGAAAGGTAGATTTGGAAGACGCGCAAAGGTAGAATTTACTAGACTTTGTAACACTTTGGGAGTGAGGGAGAGGAAAGAATCAAGAATGACTCCTGTTTCTCTGCAGAGTTTAAGGTCCAGCCCTCCTGGTTGTAGGACAAAGGCTGTGAAATTCTGGCAGAAACCTTGGGGTTGGAAAACTCTTCCTTCCTGGGGGATTCTTTAGGAGCTAAAATACTGTTGGGATATATAGACCAACAACCTATATATAGGATTTGAATTCCCCTCCTCTCACCTTCCCTCCACATGCAGGAGACATTTGGTTAAGACAGACACCGCTGATAAAAATATTTCTGTGCCATTAGTTCCAATATTTGGAATCCTTGCATACAAAGAAAAAAGGCAAATTTGGGCTTAAAAAGAAAGAACTTTAGAAGCATAGAATATTATAGCTAGAAAGAACTTTTAGGGATGATCTAGTCCAACTCTGTTTTAGAGGATACACAACTTGTCCAAAGTTTCTGAGGTTAGGTAGCAGAGCTGGGACTAAAATAAGTTTTATTTCTCCCAACACAGCAACTTTTTATTATATCGGGCTGTCTTTTTATAGCCAGAGCTGCCAACATTGCTTTATGCTGCTATAGAAAATAGCTCTAAAGGAACATTTTCTGGACTGAAAGGGAGATTGACCTTCACCAGTTGTCTCTAAGTTTCCTCCAACTTTAAGAATTTATAATTCACATCAAATTCAGGATTATTCTGACATATTTAACCCTGGGAGTTGAAAAATTACTCCTGGATTTCATCTTAGAGTTAATGCTTCTGTTTTTATTACATTCTGAATACTGGCCTTAGAGCAGTTTACATATCTCCAGAAAGAATGTTAAAATTCTTTGTAAAGTCTTAAGCCTAAATAAGTGTGACAGGATGGATACATTCATTCCCACAAGTTTCAAGTGTCGAGATTGTTGAAATCCCATTCAGGCTTTGTCACAATATATTCAGTGAACAAAATCCAACGGCTGAAAGTAAACATAAAAAGTGATTGTCCTTGAAAGATCATGGTGCTTTGTAACACCAAGGTCAAGGGTTCTGATACCCCTACCCATCAGCCACCACCAAAAAAAAAAGTGATTGTCAAGAATGCAGTAACTGTAACAGGTGGTGGGAACCGATGAGCGGCACCAAGGAGCTATGCAAGTCTAGAGGCTGGTTGAAATCACTTTGGGTGGGAGGATCAGGGAAGGCCGTGGAGGGTGGCATGGGAGAGTGGGTAGCATCTGAGGTTTATATCCTTCTTATCACGTGAGTTGGCAGGCTATAGTCCTGGGACTGAGGCAGGTGGAGGTCATATAGAAGAGCCCTAGTGTACCTTCCTGAATTTTATCCCCTCCCCTCACTGGAGTAAGTTGGGCTTTTGCTGTGATACAGCCAAAGTGATTAGACATTAAACAGGCATATGGCCTGATTTTGGGAGCTCTGAGAAAATCCTAAGATCCTACCCCCAGACCCCATCCTAGCCAATCTCTCAGAAGGACTAGCTTTTTTTTCTTTAAAGGTAAAATTTACATTCAGTGAGATTCACAGATCTTCACTTTACGTTTTAAGCTAAGTTTTGACAAATGTATACACCCATCTAACCTTTTGTTTGGCATCCTGTCAGTTTATTGTATACTGCCTTATAACTTGTTTTGGTCATTTTAAAACCTAATCAAAATACAGAACCTTTCATCTCAGAAAGTTTCCTCATGCCTCCTCCCTATCAGAAGCAACAGGTGTTCTAATTTCTATCAAGAAAAGCAAATTGTTTGTGAAATTTTTTTTATATAACACTTCATCCCTTGAACAGCAATCTAAATTGTGCCCTAAAATGCAACTCACCCACAAGATGTTACCAGTTTTGTACAGCTTAGTATGAGGGAAGGATTGGAATAAAACTGTTTTGGGAAAAGAATGAGGTGAGATTTTAAGTACCTTAAATATTTGGTTCCTGACAGATGTTCAAAAGTCCTACATTGCCTTTCATAGAGGGTACTTCAGAAAGTTCACAAAAGATTTGTATTATCTTTTAATTACATTTTTCCACAAACGTTTTGAAGTACACTTGATGCTCAGGAAATATGCCAGGTATGTGTAGCAGAGGGTGGAATTTTCTAGTGAGAGAAAGCAGCCTCCCCCACCCTGTCTATCCAAATCTCTCAAAAACTTAATTCAAATCCGTCTTCTCAAGAATATCTTTCCTTAGGCTGTAGTCATTTCTCTCCCCTCTCAACTGCTATCATAGTTTTGGCAGATAGTAATTGCATAGGTCACAAACTCAAATGTAATTTTATTTTTTGTACCTGACCTTAATTTTTACTTCAAGCCCCTATTCCTCTTAGCAATAGAGAACATATACTTTACAATTTAAGGTAAACTCAGTCCTTCGGTGTTAATTCATTTAATTCAGGTTTATACTTAATTCAGGGTTTTGTTTAGCATCCTCTCAATTTATTACTTATTGCCTTATAATTTGTTGTTTTGAGTCATTTTAAGATTTTTTCTTGTTTAGGATATCTGTGACTGAGTTAACTTTTCAGATGTTACAGAGCCATCCTACCTCCTCTCCCACAGTGTCGCACATAATACTTTGCACATCAGTGCACAGTTTTTGGAAGTATGTATTAGCTAAATGGTGATCCTTATAATTTAATAAAACTGACCAAAATAGGTAATTGTATTCAAATTTATCTCTTAATCCATGACAGATGGTAATATAGTCAAAAGGACATAATCATGGCTAGGAGTCTGGAGAGCTGAGTTCTTACTGTAACTGGACTGTATATAACAGAATCAATAAAGAGAAACATTATTGGTCTTAAATTACTTAAATAAGTATATTTATTATATGTCCCTCTTCTGGTTTGTTGTTTTTCTCCTCCTAGACATAATGTCAAGTGGAGATGATCCGCAGTCACAGGCTCTTGCTAAACCCACTTTCAGTGACATACAAGTCTCTGCATTAGTGGAATCGGTATTTGGGCTAAAAGTTTCCACGATCCAGCCACTTCCTAGTTATGATGACCAAAACTTTCATGTATGTATTTCAAGATCCAGAGACAGTACAGATGGCCCAACTGAATATGTCCTCAAAATAAACAACACTGAGTCTAGCAAAAATCCAGACCTGATTGAAGTGCAGAATCACATCATCATGTTTTTGAACGCGGCTGGATTTCCAACAGCCTCTGTGTGTCATACTAAAGGAGACAGCACAGCCTCTCTAATATCCATAGGTAAGAGATAACCAACTCACCAGTCTGTCGCCTGTCTATGTACATTACTGCATTTTGGCTACAAGTAGAAATATTAACAGATTCATAATTCCAAGTATAGATGTGGTTATTTTTTCAACAATTGGGAGAAGCCACAGCATCATCAAGTGGAGATTGGGCCTCTGATTTGGTAGTGGTTGGAGCTGAATCTGGTGCAACTTTTCTGCTTAGAAAGACCCTCATGGGGCTAGCTGGTTAGTTCAGCTGATTAGAGCATGATGGTGCTGATAACACCAAGGTCCAGGATTCAATCTCTGTACCGGCCAGTAAACAAAAACAAAAACAAAAAACCCCCCCCGGCAAATGGGTATAACTGATGGGTAATAACTAAGAGAACTCGTGAAAATCAGGGGAACATTTTTTGGTTTTTTTAAACCAGAAACATAGTTAAATATTTTTATTCATCAGACCAGCTGTGTATTCTGGTGCTGTGGTATAGTAGAAGAACACAAGACCGGAAGTTAGGAATTTTAGGTCCCAGTCGGTCATTACTGTATATGTGACCCTGGGCACACCACTTAAATTCCTAAGGCTATGAGTCCCCATCTGTGAGGCTTGGCCCCTTTCACCTGTGAATGCTAAAATGCTAAAATGTGCCTAATTCAGTTCTCTAAGCAATAGCCTCAAGTAGATTTCTTGGAATTTTTTAAAGATTTAAAATCTCAACTGTCTTTTTCTCTCTTAATTGTTCATCCATTTTTTCTTAATTTGCATTGGTCCATTACTCCAAACAACTGAAGCCCATTGTGGTCCCTGAGGAGTAGTTATTTTCATGTTTTGCAAACACAGGTTGTATCTCAATTTGCCCTGAAAAAGTCTGTGATTCTACTAGTCATTTCTTTATACCTCACTTTCCTCAATTTGTAAATTCATGAAAGAGTGTGTGTTTTAGGCCTTCATTTACCAGAGTAGGTAATTTCTGTTTAGAGCTAAGGCCACCAGTATTGGGGCTATAATTTCATTGGTATGTAAATGGCCAGTTCCGATATTCTTTTTTTTTTTTTTTAAAGATGACCGGTAAGGGGATCTTAACCCTTGACTTGGTGTTGTCAGCACCACATTCTCCCAAGTGAGCTAACCAGCCATCCCTATATAGGGATCTGAACCCGTGGCCTTGGTGTTATCAGCACCACACTCTCCCTAGTGAGCCACGGACCAACCCTCAGTTCCAATATTCTTAAGGTTTGTCTGTTCCACCTGCTTGCTTCATCCACTCAGTCCTGCCTCATAGACTCCTGCCAAGGTTCTTCTAAGTTAGCATGCATTTTTTTCTACTATTCTTTAATTTCTATTCTTTTCAATAATAATTGCAAAGGCAGAATAGCTTCTAGTTGTTTTTTAAGAACAATTGACAGGATATATCATTCCATCCATCTAGATAGTGGCTCTGAAATCAAAAGCTACTTGGTGAGGCTGCTGACTTACCTCCCAGGAAGACCCATAGCTGAGAGTCCCATCAGCCCCCAGCTATTATATGAAATTGGAAGGCTAGCTGCCCAATTGGATAAGACACTGGAGGTAAGATTTGGGGTTTTATTTTGTTTATAAGGAGTTCTTATTTGTTTGTTTATTTTATTTTTTAAAAATAAAATAAAACATGTATGGTGCTTCCTAAGGTATGTTATGAGGGGAGTGAGGTTCATGACAATAACACTACTAAACTCAGGATCAGATTCTCTTTTTCACATGTATGGTGCTTCCTAAGGTATGTTATGAGGGGAGTGAGGTTCATGACAATAACACTACCTTCTGCCCAGGTCGGTACCGTACTGATATATTGGCAAGGTTACCTTTTTAGAAAGTCATGATATTCTTTATGCTGCTCAATGAAGTCTGTTTTCACAAATTGAAACCTGAAGTTTTCAGCCAGGTAAGGTGTAATCAGCTGGAGCTCCATATGAAGCAATAGCTAAGTTGCAAATGAATCAAAATGACTTTTGTTAAGGATGTTTTTGTCCTAAAGAAACAATATCATGTATGACAAGTACTTTTCAGACCCACCTATAAAACATCTCTACTTATTCCACAAACATTCACTAAATACCTTTTTATGTGCCAGGCACTAGGAGAAAGATAAGGCTTCTGAGAACAATAAGACACAGATCCTGTCCTAGAGTGTGTTCCAGGGGAAAAGGTAAACACTTTAAAAAGTAATTACACTTTGTATGAGTGAAACAGTTTTTATGAGTAAAACATATCTTGTTACTCACTAAATCCTGTCAATTCAGCCTCTCAAATGTCTCTGTATTCTATCTCTTCTCCATTCCAGCCTCAACTATCCTAGCTCCTCTGAATTACCACGATAGCCCCCTTGCATGTAGTTTTTTTCTCCTCCAATTTATTCTTTATACCAGTCAAGAGTGACTTTTTAAAATTACAAGTCTGACCATGTTAGTTCCTTAGTTAAAACTTTTCAGTGGCTTCTCACTGCTGTCTAGATAAAGGACAGTTCCTGCATGGCCTTGTCCCTGCCTCCCTTCCCAGTCTCATGGTCCATGTCTCCCCTTTAATATTTCTCACCAGCAATATAAAATTTCTTGTAGTTCCCTGAACGTGCCATCTGGTTCATGCTTTGCATGTGCCGTTATCTCAACCGGTAATTCCTGTTCCCCTGCTTCATAAAACTTCAACTTATCCTTCAACACACAGCTCCCGCATCACCACCTCTGAAATCTTCCCTGACGGTTTCTCTTCCCCCATTGCACCAAGATGATCACTTCCTTCTCTTTGCCACTTCTGAGCCTTGTGCATCCTTCTATCATTGTACTTATTGTACTGTGTTCCAGTTATCTATTGGTATGTAAAAAACCATCCCAAAACTTACTGACTTAACACAGCAATTTATTTCTCATGATTCTGTGGGTTGACCAGGCAGCTCTTCTCTACATGATGTTGGCTCATGCAACTAGATTCCACTAGGAGCTCAACTGGGGTGCTTCAGTCCTCCATTTGCCCTCTTCTCCTCATGTGGTGTCTTGTCCTCCAGGATGCCCTGAACATCCTTACAGCATGGCTGCTTGCTCCCAAGAGAGATTTCCAAGAGGGCAAACCCCAATATACAAATGTTTATCAGGCCTCTGCTTGATAATGCTAGCTAATGTCCCATTGGCCAAAGCAAGTGACATGTCTAGTCCCAAAGTCAACTGGGAATAGCTACACAAGGGCATGCATATCATGAGGCATAGTTCATAGGGGGCCATCAGGGTAACAGTCTACCACATATGGTATTTGTTGCATTTCTGTGCTTCCTGTTACATATACCTTGTAAGAAGCAGTGAGCTTCTTATGAACAGCATCTATGTCTTTATATATTCATCTTTTATCCTGTGTGTCTAGCAGTGTCAAACACACATGAGGGTACTTCAAAACGTTTGTGGAAAAATAGACTTAAAAGGTAATACCAATCTTTCCATGAACTTTTTGAAGAACCCTTGTACATGGGGGGTTTCATTTAAAAAAAAGTAACATCTGATGTAGTTCTTAAAAGTTAGGAATCCATCAGTCAGGTAGAGAAAAGGAGAAAGGGTATCCCAGCTAAAGGAAAGAGCATGTAAAAAAATCATTGTAGTACAATATCAGTGTTTCAGAACTTTTGAATAATTAATTGTGGTTGGAGTATAGGGATTATAGTTGAGACAGGCAGAGGGTAAAACTGAAAACATAGAGGGGAGTCAGATTATAAAATACATTAGCATATATGATATTGAGGAGTTTAAATTTTGTCTTATAGGCCATAGGGAGCCTTGGAAGGTTTTTCAGCAGGCAAAGATTTCTAATGTATATCACTGTAATTTATGTCATATCTGCCAATGTGGTGGCTAGATTGGCAGATAGCCAGACTGGACGCAAGGGCACATCTAGGAGGCTAATGCAGTAGTCAGATGAAAGCTGATGAAGGGTTGAACCAAGAAAAGGTTCAAAATATACACAGGAGACAGAGCCATCCAGATTTGGTGATAGATTTAATGTTAAGATTATGGGGGAGGGAAGGCTTGAGCAAGACATGGATTCTAATCTGTGCCTGCTGGGACACAACCCTGTTTCATTTATTTATTTATTTTTAAATTTTATTTTGTCGATACACAATGTCGTTGATTATTGTGGCCCATCACCGAGACCTCCCTCCCTCCTCTCTCTCCCCCCTCCCACCCAACAATGTCCTTTTTGTTTGCTTGTCGTGCCAACTTCAAGGAATTGTAGTTGTTATGTC